ATATAGTTTATAAATATTATTATTAACTAATATTGAATAAAACTTTACAGTTCACAAGGCATTTTAATGTACATTTTTGAAGTATATGAACTATATTTCTACATTTTACCTTCCCCCTCAATCTTTATTGCCCACTGTACTTGTATTTTCCCTGAGCATGAATTTCATGTTTTATCTATTTTAATTTAAATCATATATGGAACAAGGTAAAAAGAGGAAGTGAGGTAAATATAGTGGGTGTGTAAGTACAAAGTTTCATTATCCATATTTTGCAGGTAAGGAAACTGAAACTCAGAGAGTTTAAGGGAATATGTCCAAGGCCACACACCTCACTAAACTATGGAGCTGAGATGCATACAGAGCTGATCTGACCCATGCTTTGTCTACCAAACCATACCTCTTTTCTGTGATATGCCATCCAAGCTAGCACAATGCTTTGTCCAAAACACTAATCTAGTATAAAGTATCACCTTGTATTGTGATTGTTTATACAAGGCTGTCCCTCCAGCTGCAGTATGAACACTACAAGTTTTCATATGTAAATACGGAATGTCAGATTGGCCTCTCTGCACTTAGACTTTTGACTGGCCCAATGCATGGCACAGTGGTATTCATCTTGGCTGAGCATGGCCCTGTGAGCACACACACCCAATCACTCTACCTAGTGCTCTGCCCATTCTCTATTCCTCACCCAACATCCACTCACATGCACATTGAGCTACTGTCCAAAGGAATTTGTTGGACATAAATTTAGAAATTTGGGGCTATCTTATCATCATGCAGTACTGGCATATAGTGGATATTCAGTAAAAGTAGTTTAATTGCTTAAAATGATGGAAATGCTTAAAATGAGGGATCTATGAATTGGAACATGGACATTTATATTATAACCGGCATTTGTGACAGTCTGTTCATAATAATGCTCCTAGCAAGATCTGATCTATAATGACATCATTAAACTCATTTTTAAAATCCAGATGCATCAGGATATTTCCCACCACAACCATTTAGGCCAAATGAGTGAAGCTTCAAGAAAACCTCTCAGAAGGCTTAACATGCAACCCCTGGAATCTGGAGGACACAGAGCCTTGGAGGCTGACTCTAGTCTGGAAAGAGTCCAAATGTATGAAGCTTACACGAACTACTGCTTTTTCTGGCCAAGGAGAAGAGAGGGCTATGGTGGGAGCAGCCTGCACTTCAAAGTTTATGGGACAAAAGAGCCAAATGTTTCCTCTGAGCCAGAACGAATGCCAAGGAAAGTAGTAGTACTTGAGTTGCCATCAAAGGGTCATGCCCAAGTGGTCACCCTCCAGAGCCAGCTGACTCTAACAGAAAGAATCAGAACCAGGGTCAACCAGAGGGTACAACTCCTTTGCCAGGGGACAATGCTATAAGAAATATATCCCATATTCCATTCAGAGGGCTACAAAGTCATATGATCACTATACTAATTAACTTTACTCCCTCCCTTCCTCTCCCTCACCTCACTGTGACCTTGAGAAGTGAGTAGGACAAGGTGGAATATACCAATAGAAAGCAAAAATACACCACATATCCTCTTCCCAGTGCAAGCTTCTGAGCCTGGGTCAGGCTGGGAATTATAGGGTGGAGATGGGGAGAGGATCTTTAAACTGAATGAGAGATTGAATATTTGGCATTCCAAATACTGGGCTTCCAAGATGAATACTTTTTTTTTTTTTTTTTTGGCCACACCATGCAGCATGTGGGATCTTAGTTCCCCAACCAGGGATCAAACCCAAGCCCTCTGCAGTGGAAGCGTGAAGTCTTAACCACTGGACTGCTAGGGAAGTCCTCTAAGATGAGTACTCTTTCTGTGCATTGTGTTGCTAACTCATAGCAACTTCCTGTTTTCATATATACCTATTATACAGTATATTTATCAGACCACACAGTGTAGAGCATAGGAGCTCTGGCCAAGGAGGCAGAGAGACATGACTTTGGGCAAGTTATGTCACCTCTGTAAGCTTCAGTTTCCTTACACACAGAAAGTAAATAACAGTAGCATTACAGGATCAGGTTGTTGTGAAAGATGTGGTAGTACACATGAAGCAGTAGAAAATTCATGTATATAACCAATATTTATAGACTATCTACTCTATTCGTTTCCCAGGGCTACCATAACACAGTACCACAAACTGGGTGGCTTAAAACAAGATCTCACAGTTCTGGGGGCCAGAAGCCCGAAATCAAGGGGTCAACAGGGCCCTACCCTCTGAAGGTGTGAGGGAAGGCTCTGTTCTAGGTCTCTCTCCTAGCCTCTCTTAGGACCTTGACTTGGGCCAGCATAACTCCAGTCTTCACATGGTGTTCTCCCTATGTGCAGGTCTGTGCCTAAGCTTCTCCTTTTTATAAGGGCACCAGTCATACTGTATTGAGGCCTACCCTTCTCCTGTATGACCTCATCTTAACTAGTTACATGTGCAACAACCCATTTCCAAATAAGGTCACATTCTGAGGTAGTGGGGATTAGAATTTAAGCATATGAATTTTTAGGGTATATAATTCAACCCATAACACGTATTTTGTGCCAGACACTCGCACTGGAAGTCCAGCAGTGAATAGACTGTACTTGGGGTATTTATGTTCTCGTTGGAGAAAGTCACACAATAAATGTACAAACAAATAAATAAACAAAATAATTTCAGGTAGATGTAAGAGCTCTAAAGAAAGTAAAATAATGGATTAGCGCAATGGTCCTCAAACATTTTGGTTTCAGGACCCTGAAGCGTTTGTGTATGTGCGTTATATATCTGTCGATATTTACCATATAAGAAATTTATTCTATTTTATCCATTGTTCCAAGTTCAAAAATTGGTGACATGTATTTAATGCTTCATGTGGAAACACCAAGTTTAATATTTAAAAATACTAAAGTAATGCTCAAAAAAATGTAAAATTTTAATGTCAACATTTATAACTCAAAACACATGATTTTTACACTATCATGGAATGTTGGCTCAAGTGATCACTCAAAAATCATGCCTAGCTGAGCCACATCTAGCCAAATAACTAAGCAGTGTGTCCCTTTTGGTAGTAATTTACTGCCACTTACCTCTGAATTTGTGGTTCTCAGCCTCACTGCACCTAAGAATCACCGGGGGAACTTAACATTTTTTGATGACCAAATGCCACCCTAAATCATTTTGGTCAGAATGTTTGGACGTGGGTTCTCTGGGTATCAGTGTTAATTTCCTGATGCCACCATAGATAATTATGTATGCTACAGCAGCTATGGAGAATCAAAACCAAACACACACAAATGCTATACAGGTAATTTTAAGCCAGGATTGAGAACCATTGCTCTATTCTAGACGAATATGAACTCCAGCAGGCATAGATTAGTAAAAGCAACGTCTCGTTCAATATTCTGAGAGTCCCCAACCTGACCTTGTTCTACTCTATGAAATCATTTTGATCCAACATGAATATGAACTAGAATATGTACATTATATTAATTCCACCTGTATATAGACAGTCACGTGATTTCAATGCTGGAAGGAAAAGTTCAGCTCTTGCTGCCTTGGAAAATGCCCAACAATCTGTCCTGCAAAAAGGTTGAAATGTCAAATGACGTTGCTTCCTACAAAACTGAATTAGAGCATGACCTCAAATGTTAATATATTCAGATTTTTCCTCTGCCCTTAGAAGGTCAAATATTCACAACAGTCATAAAATCTAAACTGCCCTATCCTCCCAGGACTTCTGAAGCTGCAGTAACAAATTATAAAATAAAAAGAAATTCCCTACTGAAGGAAAGTTATAGCTAAGAAAAAGTAAGACTTCATGAAGTTGCAGCTAAACAGAGAAACATGTCAATTCCATGTTAATATCTAATAGTTATGCCATGCTATACAACTTAACAAAACTCTCTTGCATCTGTCAATTGATTTGATCCTCACAACAGTTGTATTTGGTGATTATTACACATATTTCCATTTTCTATAAAAGAAAATAGAAAATACAAATGGTTAAGTGACCCATCCAAAGGTAACAGCACAGATAAGACCTAAATTTAGGTCTTAGTCAAGAAAGGCCCTTTCAACTGCTTTTCCCTATATAGGGGAATGTGTCAACATTTCTTGAACCTGTTTTCCTGTTAGATGCTACCCAAAATAAAAACTTCCTTCCCAGAACAAGTAAATGCAAAACCTGTTTTTAAATTTTATCAATATATTATACCACTCATAAGTCAGAAAGGATAAATTCATTCATTAAAATAGCATTTTTCCTCAAAAGATTACTGGAGATTTTCTATTCTATATTTTCATTAACAATGGTTAAAACCAATAGTTACACAGGAGGGCCAGTTTGGGGCAGATTCCTTAAATGCTAGATAGAATATTTTTTCAGAACTATTTTTCTCAGTACTATCTCTCATGTAAGTCATATAAACTGTAATAACGATGAAAAATCTAACCAAACAGACATGAACACAATTATCCCTAGCAGACAATTCTGAGTCAAATGAAAAGGCACAACGGTTAAAGAAGAAAGAGCTCTCTAGCATTTCACCTAAAAATCTGATCTGACAAACAATGTAGTAATGGTAACCTACATAAAAGGCAGTACTTTGAGTAATAGTGATGAATTTGAAATCCAGTCAATGTCCCATTTTAAATAACATCTGTGGCTCTTTGTAATCAATAATAATAAAATAATCCTCTTTAGTTTGTGTTCTTGTGTAGAGGCTGAGGGGGAAATAGCCCTCAGAGTAACAAGATGGCAGGGACATGCTCTCCTTTCACATTATTCCCCCCAAATAGCAGCCGTTTGTTACAGAATCAAACAGCCAAATGAAGACTGGACAGAATAAGAGACCAAGGGCAACAGAAAATCAGATGCTTTGGCGAGAAGGCAGCCTATAAATGTTGGTTTCCCAGGATTTTGATAGCAGTAGTGTTTTATCTTTATCTCTGCTTGAAAGCAGAGTCTAATTGAATAAAAGAGTTTTTAAAATAGTGGGCCATTAATTAGGCGGCATGGGGTAAAGCACAGATTCAGTAATGTATGAGGCTTCTGGGAGCCACAGACTGCACTCATCGATTCTGTCAGGGCGCCAGAGAAATGAGAGAGCCGAATGTTTTGCCTCTTCTGGAAACCTACCTGATACATTTGGAAGTGGCTTCCCCATGCATTGCCTCTGCCCAAATCATGCCATAATTACTCTGGCACTGTAAGCTGTGAACTTGGCGGGCTCTGAGAGATATCAGATGTTTTTCTCATGCTTGCTGAACCTCTCTTAGACAAATTTTGCATTGTTTTTTGTGTCAGTTTTATCGGGAAACATCGTGTTGCCATCTGGGAAGAAAAACAACATGGTAGAGGAACAGCTGGTATTGGCAATGGCCAAATAAACATTGGCAGGCACCCGCCATTAGGTGAGATAAGAGGGATGGGTGGCCGCCAACACCGACAATCCCTCACCGCTGGAACATTTTTCACTGTCCCCTTCTCTCTTATCTTCATTCAAATTCATGGCAATTTTTCATTCAGATACTCAAGCTCTCCAAGTGTCAGGTGTTGGGCTTTTCCTGCTCTGTCCTGGAGGAACAAGACAGACCTATAAATTCCCCCTCCAACTGAATTTCTCTCCTGGGCAGGACAATGGGCTTCTTGAAGCAACAGGTGAGCTTCTGATACCTTAACAGAAAGGCTCCCCTGAGGAATAAGAGGAAACCAAGACTCTTACCAAGCTTTTCAACCAATTTGATGGCCTTTATTTTGGTCACACCCAACAACATCAGTATTTGTGGCTCTCAAATCCTTAACTCTTTTAAAGGCCATATGTATGATAAACCAACAGAAATAATATTGTCATGCCTTTGGGAGCAGGGCAGTGAGAGGAAGTAAGTTACACCTGATTTACAAAGTTATACCCCATGCTTTCTTGTTTCTAAGGTAAAAATTTTCCATTGCAACATTTCTAAAATTGAGATGCATAGAATAGATGTCTAAAAAATATCTGACAACCTCCAGACAGCAGAATAAGTTGTGAAGTGCCAATAGTCACCACTGCCTGCACATATGCAAACTGGTGAACATTTGAAGGTAAACATTCATCCAATCACCTCAGTTGTATTATTTCTATTGCTGGAACCAACATCGTTGAACTTTTAACTTAAATTTGGATTCCAAGTTTTGGCTTAAAACATCTTCAAAATATTATATTGAAATACAGCATTTTTAATTTGTTCAGTTTGCAGAAATTTGTTTCACATAGGCAATGTGATCAGAGGCAATAGAAATTGCTGAATCACTCAAAATAACTCAAAAATTTTTAAGTTAATAGAGGTTGGAATGATGAGCACATGTGTCTTGGAGACTGACACTCAAGCTAGTACATCACCTGACAAAACCTTTCAACTAACTTTCAATACACAATTCAATTATATATACTCACTATATATTATATTCATTAAATTGTATATTCAGTGTATTACATTCAATATATATTTATATACTTTATGGTCAAAATATTATATATTCAATATATATTATATTCAATATATTATATATTCAATATATTATATTCAACATATAATTCAATTAAGGGAAATTTTATATGAAATATAATTGACATGTATTATACATAATTTTCCCTCAATTGAATTATACATCGAATATAATCTATAGTGAATATATACTGTGTTATATATTGAATATATATTATATAAGATTTTTTCATACGTATGAATTTAACCAAAAGTGAAACGGAAATGCAAACAAAACCCTGGAACTCTTGACAAGATTTAGCTCTAGGTTCTAAAAAGGATGAGGTTACAAGAAAGAAGAGCAGTGTACCACCATGCCATTTATAAAGGCCAGTGACTGAGGACCTTTGAATGCTGGAGTATAAAATGCTTAAATATAAATTTCACTTGTGAGAGTTATGAAAATGGCATGAAATTGTATGCATCATTGATTATTTTAAAAAATCATACATAAAACCTATGTACAGTTAATGTATTGTTTCTTCTACTACCAAAAAAAGAAAAATTGATGGTGATATAGGAAATATGCTAAATTTCAGAATTGTTGAGAATCACCTAATTCATCCTTTTGTTTTAAAAAGTAAGACCCTAAGGTCGCACAGCTCACTTGCAACAGAACTCAAACTAGAATTGCGAACTAAGCAAGTGGACATGAAAGGGAGAATGGGAGAGCGTGAAATGACATGCCTTGACCTAAGGGACAGACCAAGTTAGGACCAGCCAGGAACTCTCCTTAAACAACATTAGAACAAGTTCTCTGGAAAAATTCCTCCTCCTAGAGATCAATCGTCACTTATACAACTATGATTAAACACAAACAAGAAGATTGCTGTGAAAATCTAAGCAAAACCAAAGCATAAAGAAAATTTCCTAAAAATCTGTTTAGATTTGTTTCAATATTATTCATGAGAAAAGTCAGTCACTCTGAATGTTTCAATAAGTAATATAATTTATGTGTAGCCACATTCTTTTGTCAATGTATTATTCATTCTTTTGATATCTGTCAGGTAAATATATGACAATTGTTAATACCCTGATTTGAGCTCCAATGAAATTAACTGAATGAGTCTCTCGTTATATTGCTAATTCAGAAATTCTGAGACTGTAATCCGTTAGTCCATAATGCTTAATCTATAAACTCAATAAAATTTTTGCCTACAGACCACTCATTTATAAGAAGTTTGATACTAGAACAGCAGGGAAATACTTTTTAAAGTAAACCCATCATTGGAAAAAAGAAACTGCAAGTACTTCTTCCTTTCTTAAGCATCTACTGTGTATATAACACTTAATGGACTCTGTAGTATAGTAATGTCAAGAAAGGTCATTCTCGGCCCTATTTTACAGAAGAAACTGAAGCCTACAAAGGTAAATAACTTGCCCAAGGTCAAGCAGCTTGAAAATCTAGAAAATCTGTCTCTAAGAACTATGACCTTAACTGCTACACTATGATGCAAGGTGTCCAATAATTAAATACTAAACCAGTAGCATATAACTGATATTGTGACTTAGAAGTCAGTTAAAGTAGTTCAGCAGGCTGGAAAATAAATAGGGCCTTGAAGGATAAATAAGCTTGGTAAAGGTAGATTTTGTCAGAGTCAGCAAATAGACAAATATAAACTAAATAACAACTATTGGACAACAAGAAAGGGAAACTCAGAAGGAAATAGTTGGAATTTTGTAGAAAGCCCACAGGAGAAGAAACTGAAATTGGAATTACATGTTGGCCAAGGCAGTGCAAATCAATCTGTAAACGATGGATGTTCCTTTGGAAGGCTTCCAGGGAGACACAGGAGTATAGACAGGAAGTAGCCCCCTCTTGATGAGTAAGTCAGTGCCTTCCTGAGAAGGGTAATAGCCTCACCTTTCAGTAGGGCCCAGATGACAGAACGCAAGAAAGCGACAAAGCTAATATGATCATTGCATTATAAATTAGAGCATTTAACCACATGGATATTTTTCACCCCAGAAGACAGGATCTTGTCACTTAACAGGATCAGTGAAGAAAGAAGCATATCCCTGGCCACAGAGAAGCACCCAGAGCTGCTGTATCTCTGCCCTGTTGAGAGTAAGATGGTTTGGGCACAGCTACAAGTTCATCTTTTGACTTACCAGAAGGTCCCTATCAACAACAGAATTTCATAGAAATAGAATAAAATGTAATTATTAAGTACCCCAAACTCCAAGAGGGGTATGCAAGTTAAAGCTCAGGCTTTGACGAGCCCAGATTTGTGATGTCTAAGGTAGAAAAATCTGGTAACATCAACATTAGCAAAAGGGGCACACTGAGTTTAAAAAACTAAGTAAAGTATCCTATCACAAGTAGAAACAAACAAACAATAAAACAAAAACCAACCTCTACACTGCACACTTACAAACAAAGCCAGGCCTGGGGCGAGGGGTGGGAGAAGTATTGGGAGAACCAGGGAGTCCTTGCCACAAAGTGGGCATAGGTGGGAACCCTAAAGGCTATAGAGTCTGTTTAAATATGTAAGGCAATTTATTCTAACCTCTAAATGGACTGCTTGGAACAATGTCAAGTACTTTAGGTCCTCAGAGTGGGAGCCTAATCTCTGGGGAAGCAAATGCAAGGAACTAAGAACTGCTGGACCTGACAATGAACTCCTTAAAGAATGGGATAATATTTTATTTATATTAGAATTTCCAGTACCAAGCACAATGCCCAGAAAATATTAAAGAGTTTAATAAACATGTGATGGCTAAACAGAGGCATGATGTCCCTTCTAAGAGTCCGTGAACTGTAGATGGATGATACAGAATAAGCCTCACCCTGAGATAAAATGTACATCGCTTAGGTGATGTTATCTGAGAAGGGCAGAGGGCAGAGGGCACCTTCTTCCACTGAACTTCTTTGACAGCCCTAATGTTAGGCTCAAATGTGACCATTAGAGGGTCATTTCTCAGTGTTAGGCATTGCCCTCTCTCCTGGAAGAATGGCCCTGGGAGCAGCAAGCTCATGAAATACAGTACAACATCTAACTGATGTCACTCTCCAAAGCACAAGTGGCATGAATAGCCTGATTTGGAGATATTAAAAGCAAATGAGGACCAAAAAAAGGAATTTTCAGAAAGAAACCGCCCACTTAATTTGCTTTGAGCTCCAAATAGAGAAGACCACATCTTTTGTAACACAGAGACACCGCCATATTTTATAGCGGTAGCAATATTTGGATTCTCTGGTGCTACGTCCTCCCTTTCTTACTCTCTTCTTCCTTTTTTAATTTTTTATTTATTTTTTTAGCATCTTTACTGGAGTATAATTGCTTTACAATGGTGTCTTAGTTTCTGCTTTAATAATTGCTTTACAATGGTGTGTTAGTTTCTGCTTTATAACAAAGTGAATCAGCTATAAATATACATATATCCCCACATCTCCTCCCTCTTGCGTCTCCCTCCCATCCTCCCTATCCCACTCCTCTAGGTGGTCACAAAGCACTGAGCTGATCTCCCTGTGCTATGCGGCTGCTTCCCATTAGCTTTCTATTTTACATTTGGTAGTGTATATATGTCCATGTCACTCTCTCACTTCGTCCCAGCTTACCCTTCCCCCTCCCAATGTCCTCAAGTCCATTTTCTGTTTGCATCTTTACTCCTGTCCTGCCCCTAGATTCTTCAGAACCATTTTTTTTTAAGGTTCCATATATATGTGTTAGCATATGGTATTTGTTTTTCTCTTCCTGACTTACTTCACTCTGTGTGACAGACTCTAGGTCCATCCACCTCACTACAAATAACTCAATTTTGTTTCTTTTTATGGCTGAGTAATATTCCATTGTATATATGTGCCACATCTTCTTCATCCATTCATCTGTCGATGGACACTTAGGTTGTTTCCCTTAACCTCAGCTCCAGGACAGTCCAGGTAC